ATTACGTTGATCTGGTATTAAATAAATTTTATATTTTCTTATCATGTGGCAAAAGATTCTGTGAGAAACAAACTAAAATCTATTACAAATTTATCATTAATCTGGAAAAGAAAAAGCCACTTCTTCAAACAAAATTAAGCACCAAATGAAACTCTTCTCTAAAAAATTAGATTCTACTACAACAACACCACACTCTGATGTCTCAAGTTCCCAATGCCCAACCCTAGCTCAACGGCCTTGAAACCATCTCTCATCCAACCAAATGCAGCTCCCCCATCTACCCCTTCTCAAAGAACATGCAATGCAAGATGCCACACAACAGGCCCATCAAGTTGGGAACCCTCCTCGAAACCTCACCCAAGGTGTTAATTCTTCTATGGATAACCTTCTTGGGAGACGGTAACAAATCCGATCACCTTTGGAGGCTTAGGGATAGGGAATGTGAAAGCCCACAAACCCTCCACAAAACTTTAGCCAAGTTGTTAATTCTCCTATGGATAACCTTCTTGGGAGATGGTGACAAATCCAATCAACTTTGGAGGCTTAGGGATAGGGAATGTGAGAGCCCACAACAAGGCCTTGCTGGCTAAATGGTTGTGGTGGCTTCATTAGGAGTCTAATTCCTAGTGGCATAGAGTTATTGTGAGCATGGATTGTCCCCTTTTGAATGGGCTACGAGTGGGGTAAAAGGCACATCCAGAAACCTTTGGAGAGATATCGCTGAAGAGTTTCCTTTTATCTCTCTTTACGTTTGTACTCAAGTGGGGTGGGAATGACACCCTTTTCTGAAAGGATAAGTGGTTGGGAGATAGATCCCCTACTCTTTATTCCCTTGTTGAGAAATCATTCTATTGCAACAATTTTGTAGCCTTACTCCACTCCTTTGTTGGGATTCAGTCGTGCCTTACTGGATAGGGAAATATTGGATGTCATCAATCGTTTATTGATGCATGGGGAGTCCCGTTTGTAACCTTTACTGGATAGGGAAATATTGGATGTCATCAATCGTCTATTGATGCATGGGGAGTCCCGTTTGTAACCCTAGAAGAAGGGATGTCCGTATTCAGCACCCTTGCCCTTCTGGAGAATTCTCGTGTAAATTCTTTTTTCTCTACTTTGTGATCCCCTCTTCCGAAAGTGAATTGGTCATGCCTTTCTATGGAAGATGAACATTCCAAAGAAGGTAAAAAAAAAAATTGCTTTGGCAAGGTTCTCCACGTTAAAATTAATACTTTGGATATGGTTTTCAGGAGGGTTCCCAACTTAACGGGGCCTTAGTGTTATATTCTCAGCATGAGGTTCGTCGGCAGAGGATCTAGATCATATTCTTTGGTTGTGTGATTATGCCTTTGCAGTTTGGAGCTGGATTTTTTATAAGTTTGGCTTGGCATAGCATAGAGGTTGCAATGAGATGATCAAGGAGTTCCTTCTTCGTCCTCCTTTTTTGTGAGAAAGGAAGGTTATGCATGCTAGGATGTGCACTCTATTTAGGAGCTTTGAGTAGAAAGGAACAATAGAATTTTTAGAAGGTTTGAGAGGCCCTTGAGTGAGGTGGGGTTCTGCACTTGGTTCAATGTCTCCCTTCGGGCGTCTGTGACTAAGTTTTTTCTATAATTACCCATTCGGTTATATTTTGTTAGATGGGAGGTCGTTTTTGTATGTGTCCCGTCTTTTATGGGTTTTTTAGTATACCCATGTATTCTCTCATCTTTATCTCAATGAAAGTTTGATTTTTCATAAAATAATAATAATAATTAAACAAAGAAAAAGGTTTAAAAGAAAACCCTTAAGAAGGGCTAGAGTTCCAAATACGAATATATCTCTTTCTCCCTAGGCAGCAACAAAACTCACCAGGCATTGTGAGAATATCAATAATATTGAGTGTTTCCCTGCTAGACTAAGCTTGACAAAACCCCAATGAAGGATAGGACATGGACTAAGCCAAGACAGTCACCACCAAACAATTTCTCATTGAGGGCAAATGAAATAACCAAGGGAATAAAGAGCAAAGAGATCTATCCCCCAAACATATATCCTCCTAGGAAAAAATGTCTCTTCCATCCCCAACTGGGCTATAAACAAAAAGAGAATAGAATGGAAACTTCTCAATAATAACTTTTCAAAGGTTTTAGGATGTGCTTTTGACTCCACTCAATATACACTAAAATGGGGTCCGCCCAAGTTTACTCACAATAACCTTCCTTTTTGTTTATAAGAAACATAACTTTCATTGACAAGAGAGAATTTCCAAAAGGAGGGAGAGATTAGGTCTCCCTCCAAACCAACGGGCTACAAAAAAGAAGTCCAACTGGTTTAAGTATGAGTTAGGCTATAAGTACCAAAAAGAAAGTTGAAATAGAGGACCAAGTAGAAGCAAAATGAGTGACCAAATCCCAAAAAGTGCCCCTACACACTAATTGGGGGAAAGAGTAGAATTTTGAAGAATTCTTAGGGTTCTACTGCAAGTATTCAGCCTCCCAAAATAGAAGATGCACAAGAAAACTTTGACCTTCATAGGACACAATGCTTACCATATAATCAGATTTTTGTTTCTCCAAAGTTGCTTGTTTCACAATGAGCTTGGTAAAAAAGATTTTAACCTAAAAGGAGCCATCATTCTCCAGCATCCACAACAACATTGACCTTCTTACTCACAATACCCTTATGCCACAAGGAACTGCACTCCTAATGAAACCACCACAACCATTTGGTCAAAAGGGCCTTGTTGAGGTCTCGCACACTATCAATCCCTAGACCCCTGAAGTCAACAAGTTTTGTCACAATCTTCTACTTTACTAAGTGTGCCCCTTTCCCCTCCTCCACTCCCTTCCTACAGAAAATCTCTCATGAGCTTTCTCTAAAGTATTACTAACCAACACCAGGATCCTAAAGAGAGATAGGAAGTAGGTTGGAATCCCACTCAAAACAAACTAGATCAAGATAAGTCTACCTCCTTGCGAGAAAGAAAAAACTCCTCTTCTGAGATGCCAACTTCTTTTGAATCTTACTCACCATGGGATAACATCAGGCATTTGGGGTTATGACCTAAGGAAAGGCTTATTAGATAAGATGAACAAATTAGAAAACCCTTTTGTAATCTGCATGGTGCTTTCTTTCTTTTCTTTTCTTTTCTATAAACTTCACACGTCAATGAAATTGTTTCTTATGGAACAAAAAAATGGTGACAGGAGGAGCTCCATCCAATAAGTCTGGTCCAAAATTTTGTACGGATTTTGTTCTTTATTCTTGCTCTTGTTCTTTCATTTCTACTCATGAAGTTCTTTTTACAAAAGACAAACAGTACACATATTTAACAAATACTTGCAAAAGTTAGATGTTGATTGCACCCACTTCAACAGAAATCAGAGTTATGCTTTATGATTAGTTCGACAAAGCTAACGTGTTGGACAATCTATTTTGCCAATTAGTAGTTCATCTTATTAGATGCAACGAAAGGAAGGCTAGAGGAAGAAAATTTTACCAAATTGCCTAACCGTCTAATGACAGAAGACAACAAAAGATCAGGGTAAAGACAAAAGTTCACTAGTAATATTTTGAAAAGACAACGTGTTTATTACTATTATCCTTGCTTGTCCCATAATTTTAAACTGCAAAGAAATTCTGACAAGCATAACACATAATACAACAAATGTATGAAAGTGACTAACCGAGTCATAAGTCTGTAAGTAATAATTTTTAGTCCACTGTAATTGTATCGAGACAAGGTCCACATTCCTAATTGTTTGACAGAACTTAAACCTAGATTTTTTTAACCACTTGTACACATAGAACTGTTCAACCTTGCTTCCTACCTTGCTAAGAAGACAGTATACATAGGAATGCATATTCACAAAAACAAACCTTTATGATACTAATAAATTGAGAAGTACCTGGGTAACTATCCTAACAGAAGAAGACTCCACTTCAGAATATCGTTCGCAAGCAGAGACGGAAGAGCCGTACAGCTCTCTCTTCAACTCGGCAGATAATTTTGCACACTTCCGCAGAGCCATACCGACAACATCATCTTCATCCTCCCTGTCCTCCTCCTCCTCCTCCTCCTCCTCCTCCTCACTCGTCGACCTTACATCACAAACCTCGGTCAATTCCTTCTCACTTTCTTCATCTTCATCATCCACCACAAATCGACGGCCACGACTCATCACCGTGGAGGACTTCACTCCCTCAACCTCCACATCGTCATCCTCCAAACTTTCCTTGAAATTCTTGGAACTTTCCATGACTACGACACAATCGTCACCGCTATCATCGGAAATATACAGCGATGGCGGTCGGTATGCGAAAGATTCAATCGGAGGAGGGATCGGAGGTTGAGTCTGCGGCTTGCTGAAGACGCGAGAGGGCTTAAAAGAGTGATTCGACCACTCGTCATCTGAAATTTCGTCGAAGACACGCTTCATACTGTGATGGAGGACCTGCGAGAAATTCCCGGCAGAGAATACAGTCTCAGTGAGAAAGTGGAGAAGATAAGGCGAAAGGGACGACTGCTTCCAATAAACGAACAACCAGATAAACGTACAGCCGAATACCTCAATCAACAAAAAAGAGTGAATCACCAGCAACGAAGACAAGTTCTAAGGGAGACAAATATGGAATTGGAGATTACCAAAAGTGAAGACGAACAGACGGAATCGATCAAGGAAGCTTCATATAGCAACAGAGAAACCGGGAAGAATCAAACAGAAGCTTAAGCCCTGCCGCATCCGCATCTTCCGTCGACAGCCGGTGATTGAAACTCTTGAAACAGAGAGTTACTTGAAAGCTCAATATCACCTCAACATTTTCTGTAAGTAAGGGTTTTGCTTAATTTCTTTCCTCTTTTACCCTTTTTACCCCTTTTTACCCCTTTTTACCCTTTTTTACCCTTTGCGATGTGAATGCCTGTTGGCGTTGGGATAACTCGGTAATCTGTTAAAACAAATTAAGTGTAACAAAATGGAATGATTTTACACCACACGCTAGAAATAAATAAGAGAGTGGAGACAGACTGAAAAACCCGTTGGCGCGCCGCGGGAGATTTCCCGCCGTATGAAATTCAGCACGCGTTATTCATTAACCAGAAGTCCAAGAAAATTCGTCATCTCCTTTTTTAGACCGTTGCTTTTGCTCACTGGATTCTTTGATTCTCGGTGTCTGTTTATGTGTGGATATTCTTTTGGGAGAACTTTTCAACCAGTTGATGCAAATACCTACCGCAATAGGATTTTACAAAATTCTAGTTTTCTCCTTCCGTTAATCCTTCCCGGGAAACGACCGAAATTGAAATTGTCGTGTAGGGGCAGAACTCACGCGTCAGTGTAATTAAAGCCCTCTTTCGAAGTCAAGAAAATCCAGAGATGGAATCAAAGTCTTCGTTCATCGATTCAAGGTATCTCTCAAGCCATCATCTCCATTCTATACTTCTATTGGTCGGTTGGTCGATGGGTCGATTGGAGCATTTATGCCCTTCGCCTCATTAATTCTCTTCAATCCAAGGGTGAAACACAGAGTTTGATTTTTCTCTCTTGGTGTCGGTGTTTTTACTTTGGCGCTTTTTCTCTCCTTCTTTCCTCTTTTTGTTTTTTTCCCCATACCTTCGTGTAAATTTTCTAGGATTCCACTGCCTTCTGTCAGATTTTTTAGTGGATTTTAGTGGGGTTTTTGTTCTTTTGCTTGTTAGATCTTTCTTCGATTGGTTGGCTCGAGATTTTGTGCTGTGACTGTTTATGGGTTTTTGACTCTGTGGATTGCCACTTAGGATTTCTTAGTCCTGGGGACTTGAAATTTCACTTTTGGGAATTTTTTTTCATTTTTTGCTTTTGGGGTGCTACTGCTGGGCATAAAGAAGCTGGCATTTATCATTTAATAAACTTCTTTTTTCGCAGGAGAAACTTGTATGTTTCTTCAAGTTGGTTTGGTTTGAAGACTTTGGGGAATTTCAGTTATTGGTGGTGGCGGTCTGTATTGGTGCTTGAGTAGAGTTTGTGTTGGCCCTGGAGAAAATGAGGACTGGGAACCGAAAGAGGAAGCTAAGGCTAAGCAAGATCTATTCATTTGCTTGTGGAAGAACTTCATTGAAAGATGAAGATCATTCACAAATTGGAATGCTCGGGTTCTCCCGGGTGGTTTTCTGTAATGATCCTGATTGTTTGGAGGCTGGAATGCGTAATTATGTTAACAACTCTATCAGTTCTACAAAGTACACACCTATCACTTTTGTGCCCAAGTCGCTGTTTGAGCAGTTCAGGAGGGTGGCTAATTTTTACTTCTTAATTGCTGGTTTAGTAGCCTTCACTCCTCTTGCTCCTTATACTGCTGTCAGTGCAATTGTCCCTCTTATTGCAGTCATTATTGCGACAATGGTTAAAGAAGGTGTTGAAGATTGGAGACGAAAAGCACAGGTAACAATTGTAAATCATATCCGTTCCGTCTTTATTTTGTAGATTGATGGCTAGGGATGGTTAACTTTGATGGGAAATATTCTCCAGTCTATTTTGCATAATGTTCTAAAACGATGAGGAAACATCTTTAAGAATGAAAAAGATACTGCTGTACATAACAGAGTCCTCTACTTTTCTTTTCTGTAGCATTGAGTTAAGAAAACATTTCTAAAAGTTAACTAGTCTTTTAACGGGAAGTTCTTTCTATAACAATGACTGGTCTAATCAATTCTTCTGGAAATTTTAGTTGAATTTGAGGAAATACTGAGGGATCCTATGGATACAGTGAAATATTAAATTCCAAATTCTTCCCATGCTATATTCAAATGGGCTATCTTTTGTTAAATGTGGTTGAGGTCATTTTTCTTGTTTAACTTTGTATATAATAGAAAATTTCTTTTAACTGTTTTGAATGAATGAAGCTTCCAATATTTTTTTAAGTAAAAGGGTGAATGTTGTGTCTTACAATGAATATATTGACATTTATTTTAAAAAATGTTGAAATAAACGTTTTTAAATTATTTTTATTTTTACTGCTAGAACTTTATGTCGTATGAACTTTTAGATGGATGACAAATGATTTTAGATGTGTTGTTTGGGTCGTCAACTAACTAGAAATCTCTATTTTAGATGAAAGACAAATGATTCCTAGTTAATTGGCCTTTTCAACTAATAGTAATAATAATAAAGTGCCATGTCCTTCCTTGCTGCAGAAAGATTTATTTTGTTGAACACAGTTTGTAAAGAGTCTATGACAAAATAATGGAGTGTTCTTTGTCAATGACTCAATCCTTTGGACTTCATTAATTTTTGGAGTGGCGTATTTATCCAGGATATTGAGGTGAATAATAGAATGGTTAAAGTTCATCAAGGCAATGGAGTCTTTGATAATACTGAATGGAAAACTTTGAGGGTTGGAGATATAGTGAAGGTTGAAAAGGATCAATACTTTCCAGCCGACCTTCTTTTGATTTCATCCTGCTATGAGGATGGAATCTGTTATGTAGAAATGATGAACCTTGATGGGGAAACAAATCTAAAGGTAAAGCAAGCACTCGATACAACTGCATTTGCACGTGAGGATTCTAACTTTTTTGACTTTAAGGCTACAATCAAATGTGAAGACCCAAATGCAAATCTTTATACCTTTGTTGGGAGTATGGACTTTGAAGATCAAAAATATCCACTTTCTCCACAAAATCTTCTCCTGAGAGACTCCAAACTCCGAAACACAGAATATATATATGGGGCTGTTGTCTTTACTGGCCATGATTCAAAGGTTATTCAAAATTCTACTGATCCACCTTCTAAGAGAAGCAAAGTTGAGAAGAAGATGGATAAAATTATATATCTGTTGTTTAGCTGTCTATTCATGCTGGCCTTCATTGGATCTATAATCTTCGGAGTTATGACTAAAGATGATCTTAAAAATGGGAGGACAAAGAGATGGTACCTTAGGCCAGATGATTCTACTATTTACTTTGATCCCAAAAATGCACCAGCTGCTGCAATTTTCCACTTTCTGTCAGCACTGATGTTGTATAACTACTTTATCCCTATATCCTTGTATGTGTCTATAGAAGTTGTCAAAGTTCTTCAGAGTATCTTTATCAATCAAGACATTCACATGTATTATGAAGAAGCTGACAAACCAGCACATGCCCGCACCTCCAATTTGAATGAGGAACTTGGTCAAGTTGACACTATACTCTCTGACAAGACCGGAACTTTGACCTGTAACTCAATGGAGTTTATCAAGTGTTCTGTGGCTGGAACAGCTTATGGAAGCGGAGTCACTGAAACTGAGAGAGCTATGGAAGGCAGAAACGGCATGCCAATGCTTTACGGAAATGGCAATGGAAACACCTATAAGCACAATGAGGATGCTACAGATACAACTCCCTCTGTCAAAGGCTTTAATTTTAAGGACAATAGGATTATGAACGGAAACTGGGTTAATGAACCTCATGCAGATGTCATCCAGAAGTTCTTCCGCCTCCTTGCCACTTGTCAAACAGCTATTCCAGATGTTGATGAAAACACAGGCAAGGTTTCATATGAAGCTGAATCGCCAGATGAAGCAGCATTTGTAATTGCTGCCAGAGAAATTGGTTTCGAATTCTTCCAGAGGACACAGACAAGTATATCGATTCGTGAACTCGATCCTAGGTCTGGAAGGAAGGTTGAAAGGTTAGTCTATAGCTTTGGCAAAAAAGTTCAGTAAGAACCTCTCTTTCCAGTTGAACAGTTTTCTCTAATTCATTTAATGTGCATGTATGAAAGGTGAATTAGCGTGCTCGCCTGATTGTTTACTGCATCTTATATGTGCTTGAATTGATAATTATTGATGGTCAGCACTTCTCACATTCTTTCTACGAGAATAGTGGCGTTAGCAAGACTATTGCTGTAGTTATTAACTTTAAATTTCACAGGTCATATAAGCTTTTAAATGTTCTGGAGTTTAATAGCGCCAGGAAGAGGATGTCTGTTATAATAAGAGATGAAGAAGGGAAAGTACTATTACTATGCAAAGGTGCTGACAGGTATATGAATTGTCATGAGCACCATCTTCATTCAACTCCTTACATCTAGTTTAATTACGTTTTATCATCATACTGGGATTTCCCTGCAGTGTCATGTTTGAGAGGCTTGCCAAGAATGCTAGTAAATTTGAAGAGAAAACGAAGGACCATATCAATGAGTACGCTGATGCAGGGCTAAGGACCTTGGTACTTGCTTATCGTGAACTTGATGAGGAGGAATACAAATTATTTGATAGGCAATTCAATGAAGCTAAGAATTCAGTTAGTGCAGAGAGGGATTCATTGATTGATAAAGTAACAGATCGCATTGAAAGGGATTTAATTCTTCTTGGTTCCACAGCAGTTGAGGACAAGCTTCAAAATGGAGTGAGTGGAAGGCTTAGCTTTATTAATGGTTATACCTTTTCTCGTGTGATTTAAGGGTGACCTAACGAAGGATTTCCTATGTTGGAGGTTTGAGAGGGTCAGAACATGTGTCCCTCTCCTGTATTGAAGTCTTTGTTCCCGTCACCCTTTTCCATAAGCTTCCTACTTTCTTGACTGTTAATCGTATGTCTTGAAATTGAACTTTCCTGCATTTCCATTCTGCTTATTAGGTCCCTGAATGCATAGACAAACTTGCCCAAGCTGGGATTAAGATCTGGGTTTTGACTGGGGACAAGATGGAGACTGCGGTCAATATTGGGTATGGCCTTATATAAAATAAAGTTTACGTTTTTAAATAAGCGGCACAAAATTTTACTTACACAAGATTTGGGAATTTCCAGTTTTGCCTGCAGTTTGCTTAGACAAGGAATGAAACAGATTATTATATCTCTGGAAACACCAGAAATTCAGGCCTTAGAAAGGACAGGAGAGAAGGATATGATCAGTAAGGTAAATCTAACTATGGCCCAGCCCCTGACCTTTTATTACATGCATGATAAATATTTAGTTATTTTGTTACTTTATTTTCTTATTATTGTGGTTGAAGAATCTAATGGCAGTCATTGAATTGATGGACCAATGACCAACTCAATCACATTTCAAGTTTTAAACAATGCCATTTGCAGTTTTTGTTAAAAAGGAAAAAAAAAATCCTAGACAGAGATCATAGGCTCAAGAATACCAGCACTTGACTTTGATATCATGAATTAGGATAGCAGAATTTATATTATGTGTGGAAACGTGAATATAAAAATCATTCTATATTTTTACAATTTTTCTATGGTACTTCGATTATACATGTTGAATTTAGTTTTCCTTTACTGAGGAAGTGAGGAATCTCTAGCGTTGGGACTGAGGAATTTTCAAAATGTGGTTCTACATGGTTGAAATTGTTAAGTTGCATGCATGTTAATAGGACTTTTCTGATTTCTTTTAGGCATCAAAAGAAAGTGTCATCCACAAGATAACTCGGGCAAGGTCTCAGCTCACTGCATCAAGTGGAAGCGCAGAGGCTTATGCATTGATAATAGATGGGAAGTCACTTACTTATGCTCTAGAGGATGATGTGAAGGATGCATTCCTTGAGCTCGCAATTGGGTGTGCATCTGTTATTTGCTGTCGCTCATCACCAAAGCAGAAAGCAATGGTAATTGCTTAGATCTCCATCTAGGTGTTTGAAAGCGTCATTTCAAATATTATTGTCTCAACATCGGGAAAAAAAATAATCAGGTCACTCGATTGGTTAAACTTGCAACGGGGAAAACAACATTAGCAATTGGTGATGGCGCAAATGATGTTGGAATGCTTCAGGAAGCAGATATTGGCATTGGAATTAGTGGTGCCGAAGGAATGCAGGTATGGAAAGCGTTTATTATGCTATTTATATCCGAGTTATTCACACCAGCCTTTTGTTCTGTTTCTAATATCTTCTGTTGTATTTTGTCAAATTTGATCACCTCAGGCTGTCATGTCGAGTGATATTGCAATTGCTCAGTTCAGATATTTGGAGCGTCTACTACTTGTACATGGACATTGGTGCTACAGGAAATTGTCATCAATGGTAATTCATTCACCAAGATGGATATTCCGAATTTCATATTTAAATTTTTTGTCAATTTGATCTTCTGAAAGTAATTTATCTTTCTTCTAACATTTCTCTTTTTGGCTGGCTCTTCTTTTTGGCAGATATGCTACTTTTTCTACAAGAATTTTACCTTTGGTTTTACGCTTTTCTTATACGAGGCATACACTTCATTCTCTGCACAACCTGCATATAACGATTGGTTTATGTCACTCTACAATGTTGTGTTCTCCGCACTGCCAGTTGTGGCTCTTGGGGTGTTTGACCAGGACGTGTCTGCAAGATATTGCCTTAAGGTAAAATTGTGCCATTTTCATTTTCTTTTCTTGGTTTTGTTGGGGGTCATTAATTCCTAGTTGTATTGTATGCGTGCATGTATTGATAGACAGAGCTAGATGACCATTGCTAGGTAACCATTGTATGAATCCTCAGCTCCATACGAACATAAATCTGTAATAAAATTAAAGTAGGTTTATATCTCACTGTATCTTCTAAAATAATATTAAACAATGCTTGAATTTAAAAACTGGTATTCCTTGTTTGGTAGACTGGCTATTGTGAAAAATGAGAATAATTTAATGGTGAACAGTGCGATGGATGTATCCTAAACCTTTACATTTGGTTTGGCAGTTTCCTATGTTGTACCAGCAAGGTGTTCAGAATGTCCTCTTCAGCTGGGCCCGGATACTCAGCTGGATGTTTAATGGTTTGTGCAGTGCGTTGATCATTTTCTTTTTCTGCACAAATGGAATGAAGCATCAGGCATTTAACCCCGATGGGAAAACTGTGGGGAGAGATATCCTTGGAACGACAATGCTGTCATGTGTTGTTTGGGTCGTCAACTTGCAGATGGCACTCTCTGTTAGCTACTTCACCTTGTTACAACATATTTTCATCTGGGCTTCAATCTTTATCTGGTACCTCTTTTTGATGATATATGGAGCCTTCCCTGCCAACATTTCAGGAAATGCATATCGTGTGTTCCTCGAAGCCCTTGCTCCTGCCGGGTCTTATTGGGTTCTGCTGATCTTTGTGGTGCTCTCTACTCTCATTCCATTCTTTGTGTACTCAGCATTACAGGTGAATTTCTTTCCGATGTACCATGAAAAAATACAGTGGATCAGGCACAATGGTAAGGGTCAGATAGACAATCCTGAGTTTGTCAATATGGTCAGGCAAAGCTCGTTGAAACCAGCAACTGTCGGCTTCACTGCTCGTTTGGCAGCCAAAATAAGAAGAGATAATTCATAGATCGTTTCTGTATGTTTAAATTCTGAAGTTTTTGTACAGATTCATCAGCCTGCTTTATCATACAGATAGAAAGTGCTTCGATTATTGTTATTATGCTTGGTTTCCTTTTGTTCTGAATCAAAATATTATGTAGTTTGTACTATAGAGAGCTGAGATATCAGGTATATGGTGGGGTAAAGATCATATGTTCAATAGAAATGAAAAAAGGAAAAAGAAGAAGCTTCTATGTACCACAGGTTATACCCTCTCGTCCTCTCTTCTGATGTTTTGATCAATTTTGGCAGGAAAAACAGCAGGAAATGAAGAAAGATTATGGTCTGAAGTCTTCAAGGAAAGTGGAAAGGCCATCATCTCATGTACAAGGAATTACTTGAATTGATTGATAGTGTACAGTTGTAGGATAAAATTGTTGTTCAGCTCTGCAGGAACCTGAAATTGAATTCCCCTTTCCCCAAAAGCTTCCAAAACCAAACTCTCCCTTCTCCTGCAAATCCTCCATAACCTTCTCAATCTCTTCCATACAACAACTCAAACCCAACCCATCTCTTTCATTCTTCATACATCTTTCATTACTAATTCCTCTAAGCTCATCTTTATAACCACTCATTACTCTCTCTACCATCTTTACCTCCTTTTGTCTTTGTCTTGGCCTTCTTTTGGCGAACTCTCTTGTCTTTCGAATGAGCTTCCATGGAAGCTTGAGTAACAAAAGGAGAGTGATCTGCAACGCCAGGCACTCACAGCAACAACATATGGCAATGCAGTCGGCTGCTAGCATGTTTGGATCTTCCATGGTTGCGGAAGAGAGGTGGTGGAGAAGAAGATGATGATAAAAAGAAGAAGACATTGCTTGTTAAGGAAATAGTTCCCTGTCTTCAAAATGGATTCTGTGGTTGGGAATGCAACAAAAGTAGGAAAGAGGATCTTTCCTGTAAACTCTTACCTTTTTTCTGTAGCATCCATATGGGTTTGACAGATGAGATGGGAATGTTTAAGTTGAAGGCCAAGGCAAACTAAATGCCTTTTCTAGAATCACACTAAATTATACCTTTCTTTTTTGCCTTCACGAAGTTATGTTGATTAGCTCATCACATGAGATACGTAGTACCACTTTATTGTTCGTAGCATCATGACAACATATCGATACTCTACTAAACAAGAAAAATCACATTTTAAAAACGCTTTATAAGCTAAAATATTTTAATATTAGATATCCTCCCACCTACACTCACTTAAAAAAATCCTACTACGTCTGCCCATATGAATCTCACCTACTTAGATATCATTGTAAAACACTTCAAATTCCACGTCATCATTTATTATCCAATTTAAATGGCAACATCAAACAAAAATTTAATTGAATATTCATAACCCTCAAATAACTATTTAGTTAAATAGCGTTTCCTAACATAAATAATAGATAACAATATTATATAATAATAACATAGGAAATATTTTGAAATAAAATTATGCGTGTCAGAATTCAAAACTCATAGCTGATGAAAATACGAGAAAAAAAAAATGTTCATTTACTCTTCGCTAGCTTATTTATGTAGTGGTCAACATTCCTACGTGCTCTTCCATGCTCACTAACTATAGAATCTAAAAGTAATCTTTGGATGATGTCGTGATGCTTTGAACTGAAGGTAGGCGAGGTTTAAGTTTATGGATGGATTCAATCAACAAAAGTCCATCTCAATCAATGTTGATTAAAATTTTATTCATACCACAACTCGGCTTTAAACACATTGGTTATGAACAAACAAAATTCCATGCTTGCAGGATAAATGCCAAAACCCACAGCCAATTGATTTGGCTTTGAATTTTGATCAGATCCAAGTGAAAAGAAGCTTTCATCACCAGGAGAGTGTGTTGTTCTAAAATACACAAATTCCAACTTCTTTAACTTGTATAAGTAAAGTTGGATGAACAATATAGGAAGAAGTACCTAGAATATCAGTTTTGGCTGTTTCTCAATCTAGAATTTCTTCTGGACAATACCTCCGCTGCCCAACTCTTTCCTACCTCCGTCTGAAATTTTCCTGAAAAATGCAAAAGCATACATAATTTATTGTCTAAACAAACCACGTTTTTATCATTAATAAGTATATGCCGAACACCGATACTTAAATATTGACATGACATGACATTATACTAAAGCATGATCATTTGGCACGATGTAGCACGAGAGGCTCTTGTTTCATTTAGCTACCCCTCATCCTTGGTGCCACCCATTACCACATAAATCATGATGCACTTTCTAATGTTGAGGAACTGAAAAGGACAATCACTAAATTTGTGGCTTAAATTTATAGTTTAACTAAAAAAAGGCAAAGCAGGAAGAATGTACCAGCCGTTGAATGGAAAAACTCATCCAGCACCTTCCCATGTTCTGCCAGTGTAATGAAATTCATGTCAAATTTCAAACGACTAATATTTATACGGCAGCCAGAACAAAGCTTCGTGGTTACCTATTTCATATTCAAATGCTTGAAGAATTAATTCGACCTACAAAATATACAACTTTCAGAAAATGAGTGTTCTAAATCTTATATAAGTGCCAATACGAGCGTAACACAACACGTAAAATATCAACTTTACATTTCTTATACTAAAAAGGAAACAAAATCTTCTATAACCAACACTACAATTTGTGGATAGTTTATTGACATGAAACTCAGACAACATGTTTTTACATAGTACCTTTAAATTTGAGTTATATTAATCAGTAAAGTAATTTTGGGATACATACTTTATCAAAGTCTTTCACAAGATTAGCCTCCAACGAAGCATTGTTTTCATACTCGGTCCAAAGTTCTTTGATCTCGTCAGCTGAAAATATTCAAGAACCAAAAAGAAAAAAGGAACATGATTTAATGGCAATACGTTTTCGACTACTAACCAAACCCACATCATAAGAATATTTTCGAACCTCTCTTGCCTCCACCAAGAAGTTGGCATATCTCATTTAGGGCTGCTGACTCTCTTCTGCTCTTTTCTTCTTTTGGCACACCATCAGATGGCGTTATATCTCCAACAATAGCTAACATAGTCCAAATACAATATCAACCATTACGATTCAATGGCTTGCCCACTATATCCCACCTCAATAAAGGAGGCCTCTTTCCCTCATTAATCCCATCCCATAAGAAATTCCCCATAACTTCTCCAAAGTTTTACTGCCAGGCATGGGGACCTTTCAAGGAGAGATGTGAGATCCCACATCGATTGGGGAGGAGAACAAAGCATTCTTTATAAGGGTGTGGAAACCTCTCCCTAGCATAAGCGTTTTAAAAACCTTGAGGGGAAGCCCGAAAAGGAAAGCCCAAAGCAAACAATATTTGCTAGCAGTGGGCTTGAGCCATTACAAGAGAAAATAGGTCGAGATAGCTCTCGAGCCAACGAATTAAAGTAATCCTACCTCCTTAAGTTGAATAACAATATCATTACTTGACAGAAAGATGCATAATTGCTAGAATAAAGTTCTGGAAATTAAGGGGGAAAAAAGTGTTAGAAAGTACCTTCAGCAATATCATGAACAAGAGCTATCTTGATACACCTGGTAAAAGTAGAACAAGAAAAGAGAGAAACAAAGTTCAATAAAAGGATCTTCGTACCAGATTATTAAAATTCCAGGTGAAGAAGAAGAGCAACCTTTCTCTGTTCACTCCTGGAAGGTCATCAGCTATCAAACTCATCAGAGCCATGCGGTACATATGATCAGCAATTGATTCAGGACCATTTATTCCATGATTGATCCACCCCTTTCTCTTTGTTGTCTACATGGAAGAGAGAATAGCCAAATGATTATTACCTCTAATGGCCATAATTTTCTGATCACCTCGTTTCTCCCATAACACGCATAAATAAATATCAGTTCCTCTGCCAACAATGAAAAGTTTCCCAAAATGAATTCTAATTGCCCAAATCAATCAAGAATAAGCCACTCACCCAACTTACTTAAAGTTCATTCCATATTCTCCATGAATCAGTAAAGAACAAAAGGCTAATAAATTGGGGGAAAAAATCCCCCCCAGTTTCTCATTAGCCAGATTGTGCGAATACCTTAAGACGATGGCACAATGTGAGGAAATCAATCACCGAGGACGAGGACGGCGAACCAGTGGACCCGAGCGAATGTCCCGATTCCTCCAAACCGAGCGGCAGGTTGGATCCACAGTCATCGGTACTGGGCGCTTGGGCACGAACCAAGACAAGGCTCCGCCTACGGAAGGCAGTGGCCGAAACAGGGCGCAAAAAGATGCGAGAAAAGAAAGCGAAAGAGAAACGAGGCAGTGAACGAAGCGGCGGGGGCGCGAAATGGGTCCACGAATTGACAGCCATTGCTGCAGAACAGCGAGATGGGTTGGAGAAATTGGACAAGAATGCGAAAAGGAAAAAGGAAAATGGAAGTGAATGCTTGAGGGTTGGCTAGAAATTAGTTCGAGATCGGATTCAGAGGACGATAAAATAGGGTCCGGAGTCGTCGGAGTGTGTCTCGGGCGCAGAAAAATGGGAGCCACCGCAGGAGAGGGCCGATCCGGGAAGAAAGCACGTGTAGCTACAACAATGTCTGGTCTGCGCACTTCTCACGACTTCTCTCTCTCCCTCGTCTTTTATTTCTGAGTTATTTTCAAAGGAACATTCTTTTGGTATATTTGGAGTCTCATAATAATTATAAAATAAATAGATTTAAGAAACAAAATTCTTTTTTTTTTTTTTTCTTTCGGATATTACAATTGAAGCAAACAAGAATTTTAATTTTAATTCTAAAAAAAATATATCAAAATTATGAGTTATTTTAAAATTAAAAAAGTTTAATAGCAATATTATATTTTTACCTTGTTTAAATAATTATTCCAACCGTTTTATTTTATTTTAAAATTTATTTCCAGCATTCTACTAGGTTGTCTTGTCGGCACTAAAATATAATATAATGGCAAGTAGTTAAAATCGAGATTAAAAATGGGCACTCGAGACAATAAGCTATAAAAATTAAGGATTTTAATCCCATTTAAAATTGTATTGACCAGAGGAATTAAAGTTAGTCAAAATGAGAAGGAAAGTCATATACCACTAAACAATAATGTGTGAGAAAGCAAACACCAAAGTCGAAAATCCCTATGAGTCTTTACTTCTTGTATCCTATCGATTTCCACACGTACTACCGATGAGTTTCTCCTAAGTAGATTGAAAAAAAAAAGCATCTTCTCTTTCTAATTGAAACGATTTCAACCAAGACTAATAGCAAAACAATAAATTTGAAAGTTTAGATCTACAAAATCTAAAATCCGACTAATTTGAGCTCAAGCCCAGCCGAATTTGGATGAGTTTTGAGCCAATAAACTTTAAAAATATCATTGAACAAGGAATTAGTCATCAAAACAGGTTGATGATTCCTATCATCATATGAGGTGGGGCTCAGTTTTATTGTTAGATTTCATAAGAAGAATTAGAACATTGTTTTAGACCATAATAAATTAATGATCCATTATTTTTGGAAACTAATCACAACCTATGAGGCAGATGATCTCGATTCAAGACAAATCATCAACAAATGATTTCGTTTTAAAAGTAAAATTGGTCCATTTACTTTACTCGTAGATATCTATATGCATGCATGCATCTCAAGTCCCAACGAGGGAGTATTTTTAATACTTTACCTCTTTTTTCCATATAAGAAGAAAAACAAAATAAATAAACAATAATTAGCTCAACAATCAAGGATTGATTAAACTAAGACCAGCTAACTTATAGGTAACTAACTGTTTAGAAATTTCGAAAATAAAAAAAACAAAGACTTTGATGACAAAGTCAAAAGAATGAATTATAAGAAGATCCTTGTCTCCTCTGTCCCATCTACTAATTTTAGAATTCAAGTATTAATGATGGCATTTCACCTTCCAATTCCCTCTGTTTTTCTCCCCTGAAATCTTCATCCCATCCCATTTGAGGGATCAAAATCCAACCCAGAAGCCCAAACTAAACCTAATTTGAAGGGTGGTTTCCATGGTTGCCGATGATGTATCTTCATCACGTATTCTCTTGTAAATTCCTTCGTAGGTTAAACCTTCCCCACCTCTTCCCATTTTGATACCATCTTTACAGGTTTGGATACTCACAAAATATGAACCTGAGCATTGTTCTTTTCTGGATCATAGCGATCTCGATCCATATCGTTGGAGTTGTTTCTAAAACCAAAGCGCCAGATGGTATGCATATCCATTTCTTTATTCTCGTTTCGATTTCATTCTAATCCGGTTTCTTTCAATTCCATTTTATCAATTTCTTGCTTGATTCTGTGGTAACCCTAAAATTTTATTTGCTTCTTGATGGAAACAAACAAGGTACAATCTCTAAACCTATACGCACAGGAAAGAGATCCCATGAATGTGTTTGATAATAATAAATGCCTTTATCTACATGAACTGATAATAGCTCGGTTAGGACATAGGTATTAAGGCATTACCACCATTTTGCTGCAGTTTCTGCACTGAACGTGATGTACAGTAGTTTAAATTCACCATCACAATTGTCTGGTTGGGGTTCAAGTGGGGGTGACCCATGTGGCGACTCTTGGGAAGGGATCCAATGCTCAGGAACATCCGTCACTGAAATGTACTTCAAAATTTTCTCTTCTTTTTCCTTAATTAGGATGTTAATTACGTTGGATTGTTCTTGCATTAACTTCAAGGGATTCTACAGACATTTATCAGACTTTGGACTAAGTGGATCAATGGGTTACCAGCTCTCAAATTTGGTTTCTGTCACCTACTTGTGAGACCTGCTTATTATTATTCTAAACATGTTTTTTGTTAATTAAATATAATCAGTTTAAGGTAATGCATGCTCTTACTTGTGATAGTACAGTGATTTGAGCAAGAACAACCTCAATGGCGATATCCCGTATCAGCTTCCTCCTAATGCCGTTCATGTGTAAGTGTGTTTGATTTGAATTCATTGATTCGTCGTATTATACTCAATTGACGTATTTTTTTGGTATGTGTAGCGATCTTTCTGAAAACAGCTTCACTGGAAGCGTGCCTTATTCGATTTCTCAAATGGGCGATCTTAATTTTTTGTAAGTAAATTGAATGTATGTTATTCTCTTTGTCGGTGCCATGTTTTATTGGGTGTTTGTTTGTTGGCTGCAGAAATCTTGCTCATAATCAGCTTAGTAACCAATTGAGTGACATGTTTGGCAAGCTTCCTAAACTTAAAAGTCTGTAAGTGTCTCATATATCCTTCTCTATTTACCATCAATATATGAAATATTTGGACATGTCCTTCATCAATTCAATCAGTTCTCCACTTTTTTTGGCTATTTCTTTCTTTGTCTTTGGCCATATATTTTATAAGAAGTTATTACACACTCTTCATTAGAGCTTCGAAAATACATTTGGCTTTGTGTTTTGAACATACTTCTAGTCGTATCTATTCTCTGAGTAACTTCATTCTTTTATCGAGTTTTTTAGTTCAAAAATTGCTAGGTGTGGATAGAATCATTGACTTTTAAGATAGTAGTTTGTGTCTAATCTTGTGGACTATGAAACTCTCAGAGGCCACTTTTCTCTTTGTTAAAATAAATTTACCAAACAAACCCAACAATTCTTAAGATTCTATTAAAACTTGTTTCTACCTGGTCTTACTAAGGATGAAGAAGAAAAAACTAATCTAATTTGCTCTTCATTTCTGTGAGATCCCACATTGGTTGGAGAATGAAACGAAGCATTCCTTATAAAGGGTGTGGAAACCTCTCCCTAGTGGACGCGTTCTAAAACCTTGAGGGGAAGCCCAAAGAAGACAATATGTGTTAGCGGTGGGCTTGGATTGTTACAAATGGTATCAGAGCCAGACATGGGACGCTATGTCAGCAAGACGCTGGCCTCCAAAGGGGGTGGATTGTGAGATCCCACATCGGTTGGATAGAGGAACGAAACATTCCTTATAAGGGTGTGGAAACCTCACCCTATGGATGCGTTTTAAAATCTTGAGGGGAAGCCCAAACGAAGTATTCCTTATTAGGTGTGGAAATCTCTCCTAGTGGACGCGTTTTAAAACCTTGAGGAGAATCTTGAAGGGAAAGCCCAAAGAAAGCAACATCCTCTAGCAGTGGGCTTAGACTATTACAACTTCCTACCAAAAACCACCCCTAAAAGGAGCTTAATCTAGAATGTTTTCCACAAGTGTAGACTCATGATGTTTGTTCATGGGATTTCATTAGAGATCCCAATTATCAAACTATTTAAAAACTGCAAAAGATCTCAACCACAATTCAAACATTCTAGGCATGTATCTATGAAAATCATAACAAGTTTTTGATCTCCAATCTGTTCTCCATTCAATTCAAAATCATTAACAATCAAACTCAGAAAGTGACTAGAAAAATTCTTCAACTACACTTTCTAAATCTTTCATCTAGATGACATCAAACTCAGATCCAAAACCTTATAATCTTACCACTTTTACCTCCTCCTCTTGTAGGTGGACTTCAAAATATCCAAAAGCCTCCTTTGAAGAAATTGCTGATGAAATTCTTTCAAAGACTCCATTATCAACAACTCGATAAATAAGAATAAGACACCGTAATTTTTTCTCTCAATTTGTTAAGTTTCGACCCATTATTTCTTTCTTGAAGTGCCCTTTTTATATCGATTAGTAAAGACCATTAGACTGATTCGAAAGAATGTTGAAATTTGAAATTTGAAATGCAAAGAAAATAGACAAAATCGACTAACCAAAGAGGGTGTAATGTTTATTTTTACAGGGATCTCTCATACAACTCAATCTCAGGAACCTTACCTCAAAGTTTTAACAAGCTTTCAAGCCTCACCACACTGTGAGAAGCAAATTAAGATTTGTAGACCATTCTTACAGGCACATTCAAGAGAATCAATTTAATCTTTGAATTCATTTTTACAGGCACCTTCAAGAGAATCAATTTAAAGGTTCAATTAATGTTCTTGCTGACCTTCCACTTGATGATCTGTAAGTGTACCCCCTTACCGCATAAGAGATATGCATTAGATTTGAAGAGGGGTCAAGTTTTTTTGTAATGTTTTTGGTGTAGGAATGTCGCAAATAACCAATTCACCGGATGGATTCCTGCGACTCTTGAGGACATTAACAATTTGGAGTAAGTGTTGGCATTTTCCTGTTCTAATGCAATGAGGAACACTGGCTCCTCCTTCTTGTATTATTTTTCATGTTTATATTTTATCAAGAACTGTAGGAAATTCTTGGTCAACTGGGCCAGCTCCTCCTCCACCACCCGGCACAGCGGCCGCTAACAAAAAATCCAACAAAGACAAGTCGAGCAACAAATCCTCAAGCATCAGCGGCCTGGTCATAGCTGGAATAGCGATGGGGGTTTTGGTATTAATCGCCATTCTCATTGCATTGATCTCAAGAAGGTCTCCTCCTTCCCATTATCTTGATGAAGACACAAACCCACACAGATCCTTCACTCCACTTACATCCCAAGAACTCACCAAAGGTTTGCACAATGGAGATGATAGAAAATCAATAAACTCAGATACCTCTGTTGACATAAAGGCTCTTCAGAATGCTTCGAGTGGGCTTATTAGGCCTCCTCCGCCCTTTGATCCTGTGCAGGCCTTCAG